AAACAAGCCACAGAGTGAAGAGAAAAAATATTTGCAAACCATGTATCTAAGGGTTAATACCAGAATTTATAAACAACTACTTGGGACTGAGGCCTGTGGTCTTTGGTCTCTCTGCCACGACCTCGCCTTTAATGGGACAGCTAAAGTAAAAACGTTTTGTTTGATTTGTTTTTAAACCGATTCCATTCCTTTTCCAGAAAATATTCTCAGAGCCTGGAAGCTTGTCCATGAACACCATCGCCAGGCTTCGAGAGAACTGCAGGGCCAAGCTACTGGCACAGGGCTGACTTGGACATTCTCCCCTCGGCACCGACCACGAGGCTTCATTTCCAGAGTTGACCAATTTTTACTGCTTTCCTTTTTAGTGCTGTAAATACTTGATGTCTCTACATTTTGGAGGTGAATTTTTTAAAAGAGCAATTTAAAATCATGTCATTCTGTAACTGAGCTGCGAAGTCATAGATTTCTAAAAGTATATTTTTACCTGAGACAATAATATATAAAATGTGAGATGTGCGTTTGTATTTAATAAAGTATGTCAACACCTGTGGGTTTGTGATTATCACTTGTCAGCCAACTGAAAATTAAAATCAGTGAACTGTTATTAGTGTTATCAATGCCAATTAAATATCCTATTCCTTTCTGTAGCAGAGCATTTACCTTTGTGAAATTTGTGCATATACCAAGTGATTCGTCTTTAGAAAGACAATTTTTTAAAATGGTTTTAAAAATTATCGTGTTATAATGAATAAACCAAACACATAAGTGTGTAAGATGTAGGGAACTGCAAAAGTCTGATTTGGGCCCATGAGTGCTCAGTGCAGCCACTTCATCCTAGACCCCTAGAGGGAGCAGATTAACACCCAGCAAGACCTCCTCCTCTGGGTTTGAGGCCATAAACCTCCCACCCCAAACCCTGACCTAGTCTCCCTGCCCTGATAAGACCTCTGGTGCTGCCTCTGGCTGAGAAACCCCACTGCCTGGGCGGGCTTAAGCCCTGCATGGCACAGGTGGGGTCAGGCAGGGACAGGTGGGGAAGGGTGGGGACAAGCAGGGATGGAGAAAGACAGGTGGGCAGGGCAGGTGGGCGACATGCAGGGACACTCCGGGGCAGCTGGCCTGCTCCCCCAGCCCCCACCTTCCCACAGGGGACCCAAGTTTGCCTGCCCTCAGCAGTGCCATCTGTAAACACCTTGGTTTTCCAAAATGTCTTTCTATTTACAAACAACTCCATCCTCATCCCATGTCTGGACTGTGGTCACCTGTCAGCACCTGAGGGTATGGTGAGTTTTAACTTTAAAGGGAGGCATAGTAAGGGACCTGGGTGATAGCACACTTGCCTGATAGCACCCCATCTCCAGCTGTGGCCATCACAGAGGCCCCTCCCCTCCCCTATGGCCACTGATGAAGCTGGACCAGGACCCAAGTAGTATGCTAACGTCCCAATCTGTCTTAGACATTGTCATCCAGGAGAAAACTGGCTGGGTAGGTCTCCAGAGCTTGAGCCCCCAAGGTAGAGCCAAGCATGCAGGTCACTGGCATAGGGTTAGCACAGCTGCCCAGTGACCTTGAAGTTCCTAGTCCTGACATTTCAACACCAGCCCTGTGGTTCTGAGTGCCTCACTCCCAGGAACCGAGGCGCCCACCCTGGACAGGATGACCTGGACCTGTACATGATGAGATGAACCAACCAGTAGGGCTTTTTCCCTGGAAGGAATCCAGTGACAGAATTTCTTCTTGAAGCCTAAGCAACTGCACCTCTAGGGCATGGCCCACCTGCCCAGGTAGTGAACCTTCAGGGAGCCCTGGGGCTCTTTCTGGGTCCTTGTAGACCTTCGCCCCGCCATGCAGGTGCCACTTCTATACTATTTTTAATGGTCTCAACTTTTATGCTTCGAATACTGAAACAGTTGTAAAGACCTGACTCCCAGCATGACAGCCCAACTGCTGGTTTCTCTCAGTTCTGGGTTAGGCATAGATTATCTGTCCTGTCCACATATAATCAGGGGGAGACTAATTGAGGGGGAGACTCAAATCTGAGCAACATGATGCTTATGGTCATGCTGCTGCCTGAGGGCCCTAACTCCACCCCCCCGTGTCCTGAGCTTTCAGACTGCTGGTGGTAACTGCAGTCCTGCTCCACTTGGTATTCACATGGTCCCACTCTGCCATGCTTAGTTTGAAAAGGACTGCTACAAAAGAAGAACCACACAGGGCCACCTCAGCGCTGTCTCCTCCCACCTGTGCAGACAGAAGATTCTGAGGTGCGGGTATGTGGGCAGTGGTTGGCGACACTCCAATCCCAGGGTCACCCAGCAGGCAGGCTGTCCTCAGCCTTAGCCACCAAGGTCTATACATCCTTAGAGGGCACAGGCCTTTCTTAAAAAAGTTCAGATTAAATAAAACTCAGGCTTGAGCTCCTGCTCTGAAAACTCCAAGCACAGCTGGCAAGGCTTTCTGGTGCCACTATCCTGGAACACAGATACGGGCCCATCTTCAAAGGTACGATCTTGTCTCTAGAGTCACCGAACAGTGCTGCAAGGGAGCCTACACACTGCCCTTCTCCCACTCCCTCCTCCTCCTCATGCTGTGGGTGGGACCACAACACTATGGCATATCTCACAAGTGAAGACTGATCTTAGGACATGACTCATGTTCTCAAACTGCCACCCGGCAGATGGGCTACACTAGGCTCCCCTAGAAGCAGGCTGCTCAGGCAGATCCCCCCCTGCAGCTGTTACTGCCACAAGCTCCACTTCAGCTCACACACTGCTTTCCACCATGCATCCCAGTGAGGGCTGACAGAAGAACAAGGTCCAGACAAATAACGAAAGAGACAGTTTATTAGCATTGTTACGGCAATGCGTTACATGAAGGGATCCTCAGTACACAGCCCACCTGAGCTGCAAGCGGATAAATCAGAGTGAAACCGATTATTTTACACAAGTGCAGACACAGGATCACCCTGAACCTCAAACAAACAGAAGACTGAAAATCACTTTACAAAAAAAAAAAAAAAAAAAAAAAAAAAAAANCTCCTGGTCCTAGTGGGGTTGCAGGCTGTGTAGATGACTCAGTGAATGCAGTGGGAGCTGCGTCCCTCAGACCTGCTGAGGAGTCCACGGAGCTGGGACAAGCTCAGGCTGGTAAGGCAGGGTTTAGGTGGATGCGTGGGAAGAAGGAGAGGCAGGAGCGGAGCCCAAAGCTGGAATGGTTCTGGTGGGAGGTGATGGGTGCTGGCGCCCAGAGCAGCCCATTGTCTGGAGCACCTGGCCCACCTCACTTTTCACCACTTTTGGAAGTGATGACGAATCGAAAGGAGGGAGCAGAGGGCATGATGGCTACATCCACGTGGCATTGTTTCTATGCCGGGGAAGGCCAGGTGCTTCTCCGCACTTCCCTGGGAGTAATGAGCACCTTGCTGGGGCTGCTTTACTTGGGAGCGACTAAGGGGCAGCCTTTTGATGACTGGGGCTATCTTAGAAAGAATCTAGGGCACTGAGCCAGAGAACTTGTACCTTTAGCTTTCTCCACGCCACTCTGAAAGTGAAGCGTGGACGCGGGGCAGCTCCAGGGAGCGAGAGAAAACCCGGGGCCTCCATCCAGCAGGGAGGGGGTTCCACTTTCACCTGGCCTCAGAAGATGACCTCCTGTCTAGCTGCTGTAGCGGTCCGCAGGGTCACATGCATCCTCTAAATAGCATGCGGGCGGGCATAAGTGCTGACATTTCAGCTCGTACCAAGCTGTGCTCACCAGCCAGCAACCTGAATAAAGTGGTGATGACAGACAAGACATGTTGGACAGAAACCTGTAACCGATTCATTTGGAGGCTTTTCAGGTGGAACTTGGGGCCCATCATCCATGACAGGTTTTCTCCTTGGGTGGGGGTAACTTCTCCATCTTTTGAAGTTTTCAAGCCAGCTGGTGACCTCTTGGTGAGAATGTTATAGGGGAACGCCATCAGCAGATGGCAGGATTGTGCTTCTTCCAGGCCTCATATGAGGCTGTGATCGTATGTGGAGTTTATAGGAGCTAGACACTGAATTCGGACAGAATCAGAGTTTTCCTTTACTTGTATGACTGCTGGCAGGTTTCATGGTTCCTTGTAGACTCGAGTTCCTCATTTATAATAGAGAAGATATGATAATAGGTCCTGTATCCCAGGGTTTAGTTTTGTTTGTTTTTTGTGAGATGTAATTCTCATATCATAAAATTCATCCTTTTAACACGCACGGTTCAGAGGTATTGTTATATTACCTACTTCCATTATCTTTTTCATCACCCCAAAAGAGAACCCTGTTCCCCTACCCCTGCCTCAGCCCCTGGCACCACCAGTTTACTTTCTGTCTTTATGGATTTGCCTGTTCTGGACATTTCACATAAATAGAATCAAACAATGTGTGACTTTTTCTGCTGGCTTATTTCACTCAGCATAATGCTTTCAAGGTTGTTACGCTCTAACTGGTATTATTTATGTCAGTGTTTAGCAGAGTATTTTGGACACAGCAGGTGGTCAATAAGTGCTAGTATTTATAAAGTGCAAGAGGCATCAAGGTGACTGGTCTGCCCGGGAGCCAGTTGCAGGTGGGTGAGCTGTCCATGGTGGGACTTTGCCTGTGTTTATGGCCCAAAGGTGCCCTGGGTCCTGTGACCTCAGCGGGCTTGAGGGAAGCACAGGTTTTGCCAGTCTACCTGCATTGAAATCAAAACGTGTACAAACGCTGTGTATCATCACACAGAATAAATGTAGCCATTCGAGGGAAGTTGGTGGGGAAAGAACCCGAGTACAAAGTCTTATTTGCTCAGTGATCTCTACAAAATCGTATATGTATTTCTGTATTAAAATCACATCAGGGGCCGGCCAAGTGGATCAGTTGGTTAAGAGTTAGCTTAAGAGCACGAACTCTGAGCAACAGGGCCGCCTGTTCGATTTCCACATGGACAAGTGAAGCTGTGCCCAAGCTGAGCTGTCACTGAGCTGCCAACAGGTGACAGGATGGCTCAGCTGGTGAGAGCACGTGCTCCTAACAAGACTGCCTGGTCAATGGTGGGCAACGCCCACCCACAACTAACACTGAACTCGGCACCTTGAGCTGAGCTGCTGCCGGGATGGCTCAATGAATAGGGCGTGTGCTCTTAACAAGAAGGCTGCTGCTGGTTCGACTCCAAATGGGATGGTGGCTACGCCCACCCACAACTAAGATTGTAACACAGCACCTTGAGCTTAGAGGCCACGAGCTGCCGACGTGCAGCCAGATGGCGACTGGCGCCCTCCATAACTAAGATTGAACAACAACTTGGCTGGTCTCCCTCCCCAATTCCCCAATTAAAAAAAAATAATAATCACATCAGCACAGCAGTTGTAGTTCATGTGTCAAACCGGTTTGAAATCCTGTACAAGAACCTCTAGAATTTCCTGGAGAATGAAAACAGTGATCTTATACAAGAGGACAGTTGCACACTAATGTCCTGGCACATCTCAGAGGATTTGATTTACTTCCCACTTTTCAGGGATGTGGAAAGTTATCACGTACATGCTCTACCGACTGTAGGTGCTACGTATTATGAAACTATGGAAGCATTTCTGAAATGAAATTTCTTTTTAAAAAACCTTTTAATGCTAATTGCTG